CAAGCCAAATAATCAGTAACCAGAGAGCAAGACGAGAACACTACGCTACAGGTATCACAAGACCACAACAGGGCACTGAGGGACAGGAAAGGTAAGTATAAATACCCTTGGTTTAATTCTGATTGGATAACTTCCAATCAGAATTAACAATCACACGTGGGGGATATCTATACCTCCCACTGTGATTGTGGTACTGTTCCTTTAACGCCGGGTCACTCACGTGACCCCGGCGTTTACATAATTCAGTGACCTCCCAGCGTGCAGCGTTATACATGCTGCCGCTGGGGGGCGTGGAGGACGCGAGCGGCCAGCGACAGAGAGGAGACGCCGCTCGCCGACAGGTAAGCGGAGGGGAGACCGCGGGCGGCGACGGACTGAGGGTGAGTGCTGCAAGTGGCGTGCAGCCTCCCCTCCTAGCCGCCCGCGGATCCCTGACAAGAGGTAGGGTTAGTGGTTGGAGTAAGGGCAGGGGTAGGGTAACTCTAATCCTAACCCTAACCGTACTCCTAACCCTAACCCTACAATATTCCTATACCTGCCCCTAACCCTACCCCTAAACTTACCCGAACCGGAGTGCTGAATTTCGGAATGCCGAACCGAATATTTTTCCCATGCACATCCCTAATATGGAGCAGAATATATATTTTTTTTTTCCGGTAAGGCGTTAAGCGTGTTGAAAAAAACCCAATCCTTATCATTTATACACCCCTCCCCCAAACACTGAAAAAATAGGGAATTTTTATGAAACATAACAGAGGTGATTTTTGCAAAGACAAAAACAAGCAATTTCAAAATATATATACAACTGAAGGTCAACTTCAGTTGAAATAACCTTTTACTGTATGTTTGTCACTCTCTGCTGCATACGCGGGTGCTGGGCAGGCTGGATCCTCTCCACTGCATGGGCGCCGCTATGTTGGAGCCTACTGGGGGAGCCCGACCCTGCCAGCATCGGACCGCAAAGGACTCTGGGGGAGGTGAAAGTCTCGTCCTCCCTCCTGACATCATCAGGAGAGGACGGCACATACTTCACCTCCGTCAGTAAGGGAGGGAGCCAGGAGAGAAAGGGCAAGGTAGACTGCAGCTGTAGAAAAAAACAGAATTCCTAGCCGATGGTTGGGGATTCGGATTTTTGCGCCTGGGTCGCCTTATGGGCACGCCAGCTCTGTATACATGTTAAGATCCTTTAACCTTTCCTGGTAAGTTTTATCCTGTAAACCATGAACCAGTTTAGTAGCCCTTCTCTGAACTCTCTCCAAAGTATCAATATCCTTCTGGAAATACGGTCTCTAGTGCTGTGTACAATACTCTAAGTGAGGTCTCACCAGTCTTCTGTACAATGGAATGAGCACTTCCCCCTTTCTACTGCTAATACCTCTCCCTATACAACCAAGCATTCTGCTAGCATTTCCTGCTGCTCTATTACATTGTCTGCCTACCTTTAAGTCATCTGTAATAATTACCCCTAAATCCCTTTCCTCAGATGTTGAGGTTAGGACTCTATCAAATATTGTATACTCTGCCCTTGGGGTTTTATGTCCAAGAAGCATTATCTTGCATTTATCAACATTAAATGTCAGTGGCCACAGTTCTAACCATTTTTCTAGTTTACCTAAATTATTTGCCATTTGGCTTATCCCACCTGGAACATCAACTCTGTTACATATCTTTGTATCATCAGCAAAAAGACATACCTTACCATCTGTCATACTTACCTTGGTTGGGGACAGCTTGCAGACCAAAAGGGAACCTCTCCACACCCGTAGGCTTCCCTCCAGCAATTCGAACGCTGGCCGCTTTAGCTCTGCCCCCTTTTATGACGTCATGGCGCTGATGAAGTCACGGACCACCAAAACGTTCAAACTCTGATGTTTTGGGGCTGTGGCTTCAAATTTAAAGATCTAGCCTATAAAACGCAAATTCAACCATAGTTCTTTGCCCTGTTGTTGTTCTACTTACAGTTTCCTATAGTGCTTTGCTTTTCTGTGTATCTTGTATTTTGACCTCGGCTTTTCTGACCATTCTCATTTCTGTATTCCTGACCCGGCTTTTGTATCTCGCTACTATGATTTCTGGTTCCCTTGACTTGGCTTGTATTCTTCGATTCTGTGACTTCTGGCTCAATCGATCTTGGCTTGTCCCTGACTATTCTTTAACTGTCTAACGTAAAGTCCGGCCATTCTAAGGCCGGTAAACGTTCTTCTATTAAATCCTGCGTGTTGGGTCTCTAAGGAATCCTGACATTACAACAGGGCCTTGATGGCAGGTGTAAGTCCTCAAAGGCTCTCTTATGTTAGGTTTGAAGAGATGGACCAAATGGCTCTCGCTTTACAAACCTTATTGGCGCGTTCAGCTGCTCAACCAGCAGAAGCTCAAACGCCCACCGTAGCTCCTGTATCCATAGGGATGGAAGTGCCACCTTATGGTACCACCTTTATGTGTAACCTCTGCTACAGAGGAGCATCAGAGGCTTTTCATGTTTTTTTAAACCAAATAAGCATTAATTTTGAGCTACAACCAAGGGCATATCCCACTGAGAGAGCAAAAATCGGTTTTGTCATCACAATCTTGATTGATAAAGCTTTAATCTGGGCTAACCCCTTATGGGAGAATGATAACCCCCTAGTATACAATTATAAAGCATTTATTGATGCTCAGGAGAACTTTCGATCCTCCTGGTCGAAAGGTTAATGCAGCCCAGTTCCTTCTCCATCTTAAACAAGGGAGCAAGCCTTTAGTCGAATACGCTCTAGAGTTTAGGTCTTTAGCGGCAGAGGTGAGATGGAATAATCAGGACTTTGTTGACGTGTTTCTAAACGGGCTCTCAAATACCATTCTAGACGAGATTGCTACAAGGGACCTATCAGAAAACCTATAGGATTTAATTATTTACCTATCTCGTATAGACGAGAGATTGAGATATAGGCAAAATACTAGGGAAAGACCTAAAAGAGTTTAAATAAGGCTAGCTCCTTCATTCAATACTGCAGATTCTATGGCCCTAGCCTTGCCAGAAACCATGCAGTTAGGGGCGACTCGATTAACCAAACAGAGAAACAGTACTGTAGAAGAGAAGGGTTATGTCTATACTGCAGAAAAAGGGGACACTTCCGCTTAACATGCCCTAGTAGGCTGGAAAACTCCTGCACCTAAGGCCTTATGGAGGACAGGCCTTGGGTGTGTCAACTACGTCTTCCATGTCTACAGTTATTAAACATAGGCTTCCTATTCCCATAACATTGATCTGGGAGACTAAGATATTACATGCATCCCAACAAGGTTAAGGGATACACCCTTGGCCATTAAGGCCATAGATGGTAGACCCCTACAAAATCCTATTATCTCAAATGAAACCATAACCTTACAGATGCACATAGGAATCCTGCATAAACAATTAATCATATTGCAAGTCATATCCTCTCCTGCATTCCCTGTTGTTTTAGGGTTTCCTTGGTTAAAAAGACATAACCCCCTACAGACTGGGAGAATGGTAAATTGATATCATGGGGTAACAATTGTATCCAAGACTGTTTGACTAAGGTTAAACCGGTTCTTCTGATTAATATTCCAACCATGACTGAAATACCTGAACCATACCTTGATGTTAAAGAGGTATTCGACAAAGTAAAAGCCAACGTCTTACTACCTCGTAGGACTTACAACTGTCCTATAGAACTGTTACCTGGCACTATGCCACCTAGGGGTACTGTATATACTCTTTCCATGAAGGAGAATGAGGTATTGGAACAGTACATAAAGGAAAATGTGAGGAAGGGGTTTATCAGAAAATCATCTTCCCCGACAGGGGCTGTATTTTTCTATGTTTTAAAAAAAGGAGACCTCAGACCATGCATTGATTATCGAGGGTTAAACAAGATCACGGTCAGAAACGCCTATCCAATACCTCTAATAACAGAACTCTTTGATCGATTAAAGGACGCTACGGTATTTACTAAGTTGGATCTAAGGGGAGCAAAGGGTATGAATAGAAGACAGCCTTTAATGCAAGATATGGTCATTACGAACATACAGTGATGCCTTTTTGGCTATGTAATGCACCGGCTCTCTTCCAAGATCTCATTAACAATGTCTTGAGGGATTTTTTTTGCATGAATGTGTGATTGTATACCGTGATGACATTCTGATATATTCAAGAAACATCGAGTCACATCACAACCATGTGAAAAAAGTATTGGTCTGTTTGTTACATAATGGGTTATACTGTAAATTGGAGAAATGCCTTTTCGATCAAAAGCAAATCAGTTTCTTGGGTTATGTGACATCCAAGAAAGGCATTTAGATGAATCCTAAGAAATTGTAATCCATATTGCAGTGGCCATTACCTAATGGGCTTAAAGCCATACAAAGGTTTATTGGTTTCTCTAACTATTATATGTGGTTTATCAAAGGTTTTTCTTCTATCATAGCTGCAATGACTTCTATGACTAAGAAAGATGGAGACTCCAGAAATTAGAAGCCTGAAGCCATAAAGGCCTTTGAATCCTTGAAATTGTCCTTTTCATCTGCCCCGATTCTAGTCTATCCTGAGCCTACCCTACCCTATTTGCTCAAAGTTGATGCTTCTGAAACAGGGATAGGTACAGTATTATCCCAGAGGAAGAGTCCAGATCAAACTTTACATCCCTGTGGTTGCTAATCTTAGAAACTAACAGAAACTGAAAGAAAGTATGAAATAGGCGATAGGGAATTGTTAGCCATCATACAAGCATTGAAAGAATGGAGGCATTTGTTAGAAGGAACTCTCATCCCTATTATGATACTTACCAGTTATAAAAACCTGGATTACGTAGGTGAGGCAAAGAGGTTAACCGTTAGAGAGGCACGCTGGTCTCTTTTCTTGGCAAGATTCAACTATATTCTAACTTACAGTCCAGGGACAAAAAATACTAAGGCTGATGCTCTGTCACGCCACTATAAACATAGGCTTGCGCAGCCTATTGTATAAGGGTGTGCACCCTAAAGCACAAACACACACGCCCGGTATATATTTATATATATACATACATACACACACACATATACTGCTGTGTGTAAGGGTGCTATGTGTGTGTGTGTGGGCGCTTTGTGTGTGTAAGGGCACTGGGTGTGTGAGGGTGCTGTGTGTGTGTGTGTAAGGGCACTGAGTGTGTGTAAGGGTGCAGTATGTGTGTGTAAGGGTGACGTATATGTGTGTAAGGGTGCTGTATGTGTGTGGGTGATGTTAGTTTGTGTGTGTATGGGTAAGGGTGCTGTGTGTGTAAGGGTGATGTATGTATGTGGGTGCTGATTGTGTGGGGGTGGGGGACGTTTAGTTAATATCCCCCCTCCCTTCTTACCTTTTGTAGGGAGGGGGGACCGTGCTGCTGCCATCCCTGGTGGTCCTGTGGTGAGTGAACTCTGCGGGTCTAAAGTTCACTCTATTCTTGCGAGATCTGAGCGTTGCCGCTGCAACGCTCCGACCTTGCGAGAGTAACCCGGCGGAGCTGCTGGCAAGAGCTCCCCAGGTACTCTCCAACCTCCCTCCATGCTGCTGTGGGTCGTGAGGGAGACCTTTAATCTCCCTCACCAGCCCACGGAGGGAGACACATAGTGTGCGCCGCGGGGATTAGGGTGTGCCCACCTCAAACAGGTCTTTTAACAGATTTATCTACTGTTATACCAAACTCTCATATCATAGCACATACCAGCTTCACTATACATTCTGAACTTGTTAATGACACAATATCCAAACAGAATCAGACCCCCGACTTGACTCCTCTTGATAGACTATATATGTCCCTTCTGAACATCATCAAGCTATACTTGCCTGACCACTGGTCATCCTGGTATGAAGAAAACATACTCTCTGATAGCCACAGAGTATTGGTGGGCCTCCATGCGGAAAGATGTTAAGGACTATATATTGGCATGTGATACCTGTTCTAAGAATAAACAACCCCACACATTTCCGCGTGGGTTGTTACAACCTTTAGAAATACCAAATAAACCTTGGGTTAGCAAAGCAATTAATTTTATTGTTGACTTAAGCCTATGTAATAAGAAAACTGGTATATTGACTGTAATAGACAGGCTTTCCAAAATGGCACACTTTATACTGCTTACAAAATACTGTCTTCACCTAAATTAGTCAACATTTTCGCAAAAGAAGTCTGTAGATTGCATGGCATCCTGAGGGAAACAATATCAGATAGGGGTTCCCAATTTTGGAGAGCGTTCTGTGCTCAACTGGGAATAAAGCTCAATTTTTCATCAGCTTATCTCCCTCAGTACAATGGAGTGGCTGAACATACCAACCAAATGCTCGAACAATATTTGAGATATTTTGTGTCAGAACATCAAGATAGTTTGGATGAACTGATTCCAATTTCATCAACAATCTCATATGTGAAGCCACTAGTTTCAGTCTTTTCTTCCTCAATTATGGTTTTTGTTCTCCCTTCTATAGTCCCTTCAAGGGGATTGCTGTTGGTTGACGAACATGTCGAAAACCTGAAGAAGACGTAGGAACTGGCTCAACAGATCCTTACTCAGAAATCCGAAATGTTCAAAAATGATGCTGATAAACGCAGACGTGGTACCCCTGTGTATCAATCTGGAGACGAGGTCTAGTTGAGTACCAAACATATACGTTTAACCCCTTAAAGACACATGACATGTGTGACATGTCACAATTCCCTTTTATTCCAGAAGTTTGGTCCTTAAGGGGTTAAAGGTGCCTTCCATGAAGTTTGCTCCTAGATACGTGGGGCCTTACAAGTTTCTGAGACACGTCAACCTTGTTGCATATAGTCTTGCTCTTCCTTCGTTTTTGTGCATTGTGAACACATTCAATATATCCCTGCTCAAGCCATTGACCTGTAACAGGTTTACCAGGCATGTTGACCTGTAACAGGTTTACTAGGCCTTCCTCTCTTCAGGTGGATGGTCAGGAAGAGTACAAGTTGAGCTCCATCCTAGACTCTCGTGTTTCTCGTGGGACAGGAAGGGCTATGGTCCTGAGGAGCGGTCTTGAAATGATTAATCTGACGTTCACGCTCCCGGTCTTCTGTGGTCTTTCCATGCCCATTTCCTTCTCGTCCTGTCTCTTGCGGCCAGGTGGGCGGTTCTCGAGAGGGGGGTTCTGTCATGCTTATCTTGGTTGGGGACAGCTTGCAGACGAAGAGGGAACCTCTCCACACTCCTAGGCTTCCCTCCAGCAATTCGAACCCTGGCTGCTTTAGCTCCGCCCCTTTTATGCTGCGGCGCTTGCACGCCGACGTCATGACGCTCATGACATCACCATGGTGTGTGCATGCCGACGTCATGACACAAATTACGTCACTGCACGCCAAAACATTCAAATTCTGATGTTTTGGGGGTGTGGCTTCAAATTTAAAGGATCACTATAGGGTCAGGAACACAAACATGTATTCCTGACCCTACAGTGTTAAAACCACCATCTAGCCCACCTGGGCCCCTCATGCCTCCATAAATATAGCAACATCTTATCTGCATGCTGTTTGCCTAAAAAAAAACAAGCAGACAAAATCAGAAGTGGTGGCCTGATCCAATCACAGTGCTTCCCCATTGGATTGGCTGAGACTGACAAAGAGGCAGATCAAGGGCAGAGCCAGCATGATTCAAACACAGCCCTGGCCAAGCATCATCTCCTCATAGAGATGAATTGAATCAATGAATCTCTATGAGGAAAGTTCAGTGTCTGCATGCAGAGGGAGGAGACACTGAATGTTTGGATTCATTTTAGACAGCCATGACCCAGGAAGGATCTCAAACAGCCATCTAAGGAATGGCCAGTGACGTTATCACTAGGCTGTAATGTAAACACTGCATTTTCTCAATTCAATAAGCTGTAGTTGTTCTGGTGACTATAGTGTCCCTTTAAAGATGCAGCCTATAAAAGGCAAATTCAACCATAGTTCTTTGCCCTGTTGTGGTTTTACTTACAGTTCCCTATAGTGCTTTGCTTTTCTGTGTATCTTGTATTTTGACATCGGCTTTTCTGACCATTCTCATTTCTGTATTCCTGACCCGGCTTTTGTATCTCGCTACTGTGATATCTGGTTCCTTTGACTCAGCTTGTATTCCCCGATTCTGTGACTTCTGCCTTAATCAACCTTGGCTTTTTGTCCGACTATTCTTTATCTGTCTAACGTTAAGTCCATTCCAAATCCAAATATACATTCTTCTATTTCATCCTGCATGTTGGGTCTCTAAGGAATCCTGACACCAACAAGACCTTCTGCAATATCACTAATAAAAATATTAAAGTGAATTGGTCCAAGTACAGATCCCTGAGGTAGCCCACTGCTAACAAGACCATGCTTCGAGTATACTCAATTGACTACAACCCTCTGTTGCATGTCATTCAGCCACTGCCTAATCCATATAACAATATTGGAATCCAAACTTAAAGGGACAGTGCCAGGAAAACAATCCGTTTTCCTGGCACTGCAGGTCCCCTCTCCCTCCCACCACCCATCCCCGATTGCTGATGGGGTGAAAACCCCTTCAGTCATTTACCTGAGACCCCTGCCGATGTCCCTTGGCGGTGGTTTTGGGTCACCACCTCTCCTCCCCTTCCTTACGTCAGCCAGTGGGCGAGACTGATCCTGCCCGCCAGCTGGGGAGACCTAATGCGCATGCGCGCCAATGCTGCGCACGCGCATTAAAGCTCTCCATAGGAAAGCATTGAAAATGCTTTTCAATGCTTTCCTATGGGGAATTGAGCAACGCTGGAGGTCCTCACAAAACCTCTGCTATAGACACGGAACTGCCCTCTCGTGGCTGTCTAGTAGACAGCCACTAGAGGAGGAGTTAACCCTGCAAGGTAATTATTGCAGTTTATAAAAAAACTACAATAATTACACTTGCAGGGTTAAGGGTAGTGACAGTTGGCACCCAGACCACTCCAATGGGCAAAAGTGGTCTGGGTGCCTGGAGTGTCCCTTTAAAGATTGCAGCTAATTGATGAGGCATATGTGCGACGGTGACAAAAGGCTTACTGAAATCTAGGTAAGCAACCCTGATCTATTATTTTAGTTACCCAATCAAAAACCTAATAACATGGTGTCTATTACTTTCCCCACTACTGAAGTAAGGCTTACTGGCCTATAGCTGCCCGACTCCTCCCTACTACCTTTCTTGTGAATAGGCACAACATTAGATAATTTCCAATCTTCTGGGACTACTCCCGTTAATGATTAGTTAAATAAATCTGTTAATGGTTTTGCTATTCTGGGATCAAGATGGAATTTTTTCCCTAGTTTGTTGCAAAATTCGAAGTGCTTCAACCTGTTTTTTTTTGCCTTCTTTTGGATCAACAGCAAAAAACAAAAATGAGGAAGGCTGAACTTGATGGACACATGTCTCTTTTCAGCCCATGTATCCATGTAATAATACTGACAAGCCTAATGCAATTTTCTGTTGCCTTCAGTAGTGAAACTTTTAAATAATCCCATTTCTCTTGGACTCCATTTAAACTGCTTGAGTCTGATAATGGCTCCTTTACATATATTCTAATTTTAGAAAAGTCTGTTTTTCTAAAGTCTAAAACTTTTGTTTTTGTGTGGTGTTGCTCAGTCGCTGTTCTTATATTAAACCGCACTGACTTGTGATCACTGGATCCTAGACCGTGACCTACAGTAATATCTAAAACTAAATCTCCATTTGTTAACACTAACTCTATTATGACCTCCTTACGAGTTGGCTCCTCAACAAGATAATCCCAGCAGGGATTTTGGAATATGTGTGCTACTGGCACAAGTAGCTATTTTAATTTTATAGTTCACATCAGGAAGATTAAAGTCACCCATGATAGTAACTTCCCCCTTCATTGTCATTTTAGCTATTTCCTCAACTAGTTCATTATCTAACTCTTCTATTTGTCCTGGGGGCTTATAAATCACACCTACAAGAGTTACTGATTACCAAATTCAAATGTAGCCCAAACTCACTCTATGTTCGCCTTAATAACTTTTATTAGGCTAGATTTTATACTATCTGTGGCGGAACCAGCCTCGCCACTGGGCATTGGAGAAGACTGATTGCCAGCCTCCTGCCCTGTGACTATGGCCCCATGTTGAAATGCTGGATTTTCCCCTGCAAAGACCCGAAAGCTGGGTCATTCGGTACTTTCCCTATGTGAGCAGTGTTACCCCAGATAGCTATGCCATGGAGCCCATTCGTATAACGAAAGACTATGTGAAAGACTTTGGCTTCATGGCAATTGAACTGTATGTATGTGATCTGAGCGCCATTCAGTAATAATTTGCGCTCAGATCTAAGCTATCTGGGGATATGTTGAATGTACCCGTTTTATGCAATCGCTGCACAGTTATATATTTTTATGTATTTTATTGTATTTTGCTACCATGTGGCTAATGGAGTTTTGCCTCTGTCCTTGGAGATAATTGGATTACTTCCCAATTATCTCTAGGATAGAAGACTTTGTAGAACTGGTTTTGGGCAGAAAAACCATGCTTCATTTTCTCAAATAGGACTTTCCCTTAACTTTTTAACCCCGGAACCAATTGCCCTGATTTTTGAGTATGTGTATATTTCAAGCATGCGGATTCTGAAAATGTATGTTTTATGTGAATGGCATGTATATTTTGGAAGTTATTAATATTTTGTAAAAACTGTATTTCTCTGCCTGTGATAATTATATTACCCATTGTGTTCAGTAATCATATCACAAGCAGAGGGGAGGATTTTGTGTGGGAGTGTCTGTGTGTATTGTATGGATTGATTGGTTGTATTTCAAAACCCTGTGGGCTGTACTATGTTTGTGGATTGTGAATAAAAGAGGCTGTATGTGCCAGTACAGTCAGTTCTGCTTGACCTCAAAACGAATGTCGTTTCGTTATTGGGGGAATTGGATTGTATGCTGATTGCCAGGAGTGTAAGCTGATTGTATGCTTTTCCTGTTCAGCTGCTTACAGCATTCATATGCTAGAGAGCATTCGTATGCTTCTCCGGTTCGGTGGTTGTGGTGTCTGCTGCAGTGCTTGGAGTCCTCAGGAAGCGCTAGGAGCATCCTTAAAAGGAGGTACCCAGTCGGGGTGCCAAGTGATCCGTTACACTATCCTTCACATACACGGCCACCCTTCCCCGTTTCTTGCCTTCATTGTCTTTTCTATGTAAAGAGTACGCTGGTATTGCTATGTCCCAGTAATTTTTCTGTCATTCTGTGCATGATGACGGTAAATGTGAAAATCTTTGAAAATTGAAAATTTTAAGGAGAAAGTGCCTCTAGTGGCTCTCACTCCGATGTTTGAAAAATGTAAACATTTTGATGCTTAGAGTATTCTTCTAAACATACCTGTAGCCTAGCAGCAAGGTACACTGTACACTATGCATCTGTCCTTACTGAAGATATCAAACATGAAAACTTTTGAGCAGTAAATTTATTCTCATAGACAAGCATTGACGACATCCGTGGAAAGCACAGCTATCGCCATGATCCCTCAATACAACGCTTTTCTGTGTACACACACTCTGCATCCAGGATCAGCATATTTTATATGTGTCAGGAATGTTGGGAGACCCAGCACATAGTGTGTAAATTATAATATAGGTGCAGGGCCAGACTGGCCCACTGGGGTACCGGGGAATTTCCTGGTGGGCCGGTGGACTTGGGGCCTTTTTGTGTTTTTGTGTGATGGCTGGGGCAGATAATTACTGAGGTGGCTGCTAGAGGCTGGTACACAGTCAGAGGTAGCAGAAATCTGAGCAGGCAGGAGTGAGAGTCTCCCATACATTGCCAGCTCCTCAGCCTGGTGTGTATCAGCTAGCTTGTAGTAAGCATGTGTTTGTCAGTGAGTTTGTAGTGTGCTTGTGTGTGTATCAGCTAGCTAGTAGTATGCTTGTGTGTATCAGTGAGCTTGTAGTGTGCCTGTGTGTGTATCAGTGAGCTTGTAGTGTGCTTGTGTGTATCAGTGAGCTTGTGTGTGTATCAGCTAGCTTGTAGTAAGCTTGTGTTTGTCAGTGAGTTTGTAGTGTGCTTGTGTGTATCAGTGAGCTTGTAGTAAGTTTGTGTGTATCAGTGAGCTTGTAGTAAGCTTGTGTGTATCAGTGAGCTTGTAGTGTGCTTGTGTGTTTGTCAGTGAGCTTGTAGTGGGCTTGTGTGTGTATCAGTGAGCTTGTAGTGGGCTTTTGTGTGTATCAGTGAGCTTGTAGTGTGCATCAGTGAGCTTGTAGTGTGCTTGTGTGTGTATCAGTGAGATTGTAGTGTGCTTGTGTGTATCAGTAAGCTTGTGGTAAGCTTGTGTGTATCAATTAGCTTGTGTGCTTGTGTGTGTATCAGCTAGTTTGTAGTTAGTTTGTGTTTGTCAGTGAGTTTGTAGTGTGCTTGTGTGTGTATCAGCTAGCTTGTAGTGTGCTTGTATCAGTGAGCTTGTAGTGTGCTTGTGTGTGTATCAGTGAGCTTATAGTATGCTTGTGTGTATCAGTGAGCCTGTAGTGTGCTTATGTGTGTTTTAGCTAGCTTGTAGTAAGCTTGTGTTTGTCAGTGAGCTTGTAGTGTGCTTGTGTGTCAGTGAGCTTGTAGTGTGCTTGTGTGTATCATCGAGCTTGTGTGTTTGTCAGTGAGCTTGTGGTGTGCTTCTGTGTATCAGTGAGCTTGTAGTAAGCTTGTCTGTATCAGTAAGCTTGTAGTGTGCTTGTGTGTGTATCAGTGAGTTTGCCTGTAATAAGCTTGTGTGTGTCAGTAAGTTTGACTGTTGTGAGCTTGTGTATGGGGCAGGGAGCTTGTGTGTGTTGGTGTGCTTGTCTGTAGTGAGCTTTTGTGTGTCAATGAGCTTGCGTGTAGTAAGCTTGTGTGGGTCAGAGAGCTTCTGTGTGTCAGGGAATGGTCAGGGAAATCAGGAATAGTGAGGTACAATAGCTGAGTCAAGGGTGGGGAACCTTAGGCCCTCCATATATTTTGGACTACATTTCCCATAATGCTGTTACAGCCATAATGCTTGCAAAGCATCAAGGGAGATTGTAGTCCAAAACATCTGGAGGGCCAAAGGTTCCCCACCCCTGGAGTATAGGTAAGAGAATAGTCAATAATAGCCAAGATCAAAATCAGATAAAAAATAAGACATATATAATGCACTATTGGAACCAAAACTGAGCCACTGCAAGGCATAGACCTGGCAAGCTATCTATAGTATGGCTCCTTAACTAGCCCTCAAAATGTTCAGACATGCCAATTTTCACAATGCATGACCTAACTCTGGAGGAGGAAGGAGGACCATGAGAAAGTTTACAAACAGCCTGCAGGCTTCCCCACAGACTGTGTTCCAGCGGATAATGTACAAGGTACCCTGACAGTGGTCATAAAATCTATTTTAATCGGAAGCTACTAACAGTTGTTCTGTTTAACAGCTACTAGAGGCATGGGGATTGCAAAAGTAAAACTGTGCTTTTTCCCAAAAATGGCACTGCTTTCAACTGCAAGGCTGCAGAAGCATTCAACATGGGCACACCTTTAACTAGGACTTGAGCCACAAACGTTTGGAAACCTCATTCAGTGTGAAACCATTTTAAAACAGTGAACCATGTAATGGAGCCTGGAGGACCATAACCATTTCAATTAAATGCAGTGGTTATGGTGTCTTTAGTGTCCCTTTAAAAAGCCCACTGGTAAACTAGAATTTCACAGTCTACTGCAACATTGGAAAGTAATTCTGGCCACAGAATTAGACAGATATCATGCATATTATAGGTATTCATATAATTCATTTTATTTGTTTTTGACAAATGCAATAACAAACAAATCTGTTAATCTTTCATTTGTAATGAAATAAATTAACATACAATATCAAATTTATAATAAATGTATTCTCTGCCTCAAATGTATGCAAAGGTTAAAGCGGCACTGCAACCTCCTCTCTGAAATGATTATTTCATACTGATAAAATCTTCATGAAATTCTCAAATTGACTGTATTGGAATTTCACAGACATTCTTACACAGTCAAACGATATACTGAGACAAATTAAAGACTTCTTTGTCTTAGTATATTCTCCACACTTGGCAAAAAGTGAAGCTATTACTGTAAAGTTTTGTCATTTTACTTGTAACATCTGTAGGGTAAAAGGCATTGTGTATGGAAGAACCCACATTCGCAAGAGTACAACACTAATGTGGGCTCTTTGAAGATCAAGCGCCAGGGGCTGAAGCTAACCGATTGGAAGATGGTGGCGGCTATGAGGGGAAGGTTTAGGTAAGTAAAACTAACCTTCTTTTGCACCACGCAGCCACCAGACACCAAGAGGAGCAGTGGTGGATCTTAGCAATCTATGATGGTAGATCCGGATGGTAAAAGAGAAGCTTTTAAAAAATAAATAAATATTATATACTTACATTTTTAATGTATCCTTGAACTGTATTTTATAAACAGAATTGTTGGTTGCTTGTTACTTGATATATGTGTATGTATCACGTTCTAAAAAAAATAAATGTTGTGCTTACGTTTTTAACACACTTCTTTCCATACTGAAAGAGTTAAGCCTGCTACAACAAACTGAGCATGAATGCCTTCCTTGAAATAAACTAAGTAGTTAATGGACACAGCACAGCTGCTGGTTACCGGAAGTATTTTTTTCTCTCAGTTTTAGAAAGACTTCACATTGTAAAAAAAAAAAAAAAGAAAATCAGATTGTCAATCTCAGGAAATTTGTCTATATAGAAAAGTGCCTACTTTCGCTGCATGCAAAGCCTAGATAGTCAAATATCCTCAGGCAACGCCTGTTCTTTTTTTTTTTTGTACAAGCTAATTTTCACTATCTCCTAACTATCTCATCTACATGCATTAGAAAAACAAACTGAAACTATAATGTGCGATACTACTTTGGTAGTCGTGCTTAAACATGTTCATGCATTTGTTTGAATTAATTTCGCATTAAGAGGAGAAGAGTCACTCCAAGCACTTGGGCTTATATATATATATATATATATATATATATTTGTAGTCGGAATTTAATCGGTTATGGAATATGTTAGGTGATGTAGTGTCAGTTGAGGTGTGCCAAAACTAACGAACGAGTAGGCCTGTAAAAAAAGAGGGCCTACTAAGGTAATGATAATGTAATAAGTGAAGGGTGAAGGTGGGTGAGGTCAATCAGCGTGAACAGCATAGGTAAGTAGCAGCTTTGAGTTTAAATAGGGGACATAACTCCTTCCACAAATTCAGGCCTTATGCCCTTTCTACTTGTGGTCGGAATTTAATCGGTTATGGAATATGTTAGGTGATGAAGTGTCGGTTGAAGTGTGCCGAAACCAACGAATGAGTAGGCCTGTAATAAAAGAGGGCAAAAAGAATGATGTAAAAAACACACACTTTATTGCTTCTTATAAGGTTCTTGTTCTGGTTGTGGGATATAGGTCTTATAAATGGATGATTTCGACCCAGTCTTTTAATGTGGACTGGCGTGTTAGATCTAGATGCCGATGAAGCTGCTCCTATCCAGAAGGAGTGTCCGGAAAAGGAAGAGGGGTCGTACCCTAACCTTAGTAGCAGAGTTCTGATGTAAAAAATGAACTTGGATGTGGTGAGTGGATGATTGTGCAGTAGTAGAGAGTTAGGAGGGTGACTGTGGTGAAGGCTTAGAAAAGTATCTAGTACTTTAACTGGGCACCAGGCGTTTCCTGTAGGAAAGAGGGAAATTGTAGTAGGTTTATTGGTGTGATTGGTTTTGGAGGTTTGCAACGAAAGGATGTAATGGTCGTTGTCTTTAATTAGGTAAGAATTATTTAAACTTATGTTGGCATCTGACTGGTGTATGACAGTGAACTCTTTAGGTCTAAGGAAGCCGTAGAAGGCAGAATTAGTCTGAGAATCAAAAGGGCTGGCGTCTAATAGGTCACTGAGTTTCCGGAATATAGGCCCGTCTATGGGCAGTTTACTGGTTGCAGGGGGGCCAATGGTTTTATTGATACCGTTAAGGATATTCTTTATAGGGTAAGAGGATAGAAAAGGAGGGTGATTGGGAAAAATGGTGAGAACGTGATGTTGTAACCCTGTGAGATATAGTTTGATGGTGTTGTGTGATAATTTTAGATGTAAGTGGCAGAAAGAGGCAAAAGCCACGCATGTCTCTATAGAGAAATTACCCTGTACTTGAAATTCTGCTGCAAATTTGTGGAAAATGGTCAGTGCCCTGGCATTAGTGGTCGTGGTGTTGGCTGAGAGTGCGTGGTGCGTGAGTGATTGGGCGTGACGGAACAGGTCAGTCAGTCCATGATTAATTTGTGGAATGACAGTTTTCTGGACGGTAGGTTGTTGGCAGAAGGGTGCGCTTGGAAGAATACCTGAAAACGAGAGCGGGAAAGAGCATCAGCAGCTGTGTTACGGTGGCCCGGGATATATTCACAGACTAGGTAAAATTGTGAAGTGGCTGCTAGCCATGTCAACTTGCAGACCAACCTCGTGATGAGTTAATGAGGAGGAACGTCCTTTATTAATGATCTCGTAAGCTGCTGAGTTGTCACTGTAGCATTTGACTGCCTTACCGGTCCAGAGATGACCCCAGGTATGGGCTGCTGCCGCGATGGGGTAGATCTCGAATAAGGCTGATGTTTCTCTAAAGGCCGGCAAGGCAGCCATCTCCTTAGGCCAGTTTTTCCTAAACCAATGGTTGCCAAATATTGCGGTGAACCCAGTGGGTGCTGCTGCGTCTGTCTGAATTATTGGAGATTGGTCAGATAGTGGGGGAATGAACAAGGAGTTTCAATCAAAAATGAAATTCCTCCACATGAGCAAGGGGGGTTCTGGAAATGGACCTTTCATGAAACCTGCCTGAGTTTGTTTGGATAGGAGGTCATCCACTGTAGGAGGGTGGTTGGAGGCGGACAACAGGTTAGGGCATTCTAAGGTGCCTGTGGGGATGGCAATTAGACCCGTGTGAGAACCCTGACACAAAAAAAACCCACTAAGTGAATGGAGGCATAAGAAAGACAGTAATAAGCCAAAAGATCAATGTTATCCTCGGTTAGTCATTTCTTTGGGGAAAGCCTGGCTGGGCACATGGTTTTGGTGTGTGCTCTGAAGCAAATGTGCAACAGCCTGCATGCGCTGTAACTGCAGGCGCCGGCATTAAAATTGTTGCACACTTGCGCCTTACCCAGGAACACTCTGGGTCTGCCCAGCTTATCCCTCTGACCACTTTCTTGCCTCGTGTTGGAGCTGGAGGTGTGGTGGGAAGAGGAGGGATCTGCCTCACAGGGGCACAAATCGGTGGAGTGTGAAGTGGAATTACAAGCTGCACAGGACGGGGGCCTCAAGCCGGCAAAGTGTCGGCAGAACAACTCCATATCCATCTGACACCAGTCTATCCGGAAATTAAACTGGGCAAGATGAGTTGCTGCTTTGGCTGACACTGACTTGTTGTAGTCGTAAAATTAGAAACCCCCATATTTGATCCCTAAGTCAACCACTTTGTGCATATATAAGTTCAGTTCTTCCCTTCTATGTGGGTACACAGAGCAGATGACGTCTTTATAGATACCGAATGCTATGACAAATTGAAGGATGGACAATTTTTTGTTGAGACGAGGGTCTCTGGTTTTCAACACCACTGATATATCGCCATAGTTATAGGCTCTATTCTCGAGAATGTCCTGCGAGGCGATAAGGAGGGAAACCAGATTGACATCCTTCCCATCCAGTATGCCTTTTTTAATGGAGGCTGGGACAGAGTGAGCAGGGGAAATTTATGGGGTAGTGGAGGAGGGTGGGGGGAAGTTCTACCCAGCGTGTTTGGGAGTCCCAGGGGAGGACCGGAAGGGCCTGGTAGGTCACCTGGGATAGCGATGGCTGTTTCCACTTCAGACAGCCTTTGGTTAAGAATGTGAAGGTTAGCTAGGATAGCTGACAATGTTTCTTGCGTTGAATCTGTGGGGCTGGTCTGCAGCCTTTGAGAGCTTGTGCCCGGCCTGGGATCACTGGACTGAGCTGTCAGCAGTCTGTAGAGCTCTGCCTTTCATGCTGTGGCAGGGAAAGGGATGTCTCTATGCCGCAGTTCTGCTGACAGTTTTGGTATGGTCCATGATCTCAGGGGCCTGGGAGTAGAGGGGGTGAAGGATACCTCTGGGGACCCAGGCCTGGCTGGGGTACTGGGAAAATCTTGCAGGGGCAGGTCATCACTTGGGATTAATTCTTGTGACATCCTGTGAAAAGAACATTGATGGGGGGGATAGGATAGGATAAGGGGGAGGGAAGTTCAAGACCTTCGTAGAACTGGCTTGCTGACTAGTGCCAAGGCAAAGGAATTAACTAAACGTGATGGGTGAGGACCTGCTAATGCAAGTGGCGATGAGAGACTCTACCTATGGTTTGGGCCGTGGGCGCTCGTGGCCACTAGACATAGTGGTGGGATGTTGGCCTCTCGGTGACAATAGAAGAGTCAAAACACCTGTGGCCGTGACTTGTGAAGCCCTGACTCTAGCCCTAAAGAAGGGAGAGCGAGGCGACTAACTATGATTTGGGTCAATGGGCGAACCTCGGTGGTGAGGTGGGGTGTTGGCCTCGCAGGACCGATATATTTGTTGGGTACTAGGGGCAGCACCTGACCCTATGAGCCAGTTCTCTAGCCCTGGTGGGGCTTGTCTCTGACTGAGGAACGTAAACATGTGGATACTTACCTTAGGATTTTAACTTCAGGCTA